AACTTAGTGGCCCCTGCACCTCTTGAATCTGTTACCTACACAGATTTAAAGAAATTATTAAAAGAGCATTTTCAGCCCAAGTTGTCTGTTATTGCATGGAAACATACTTTTGAACAGAGGGATCAATGGGCTGGTGAGTCAGCTAAAGAGTACATTGTTTTATTAAGAAGAGCAGCTAAACATTGTGAGTTTAAAGACTTAGAGGAAAGACTAAGAGACAGATTTGTATGTGGGCTGAGAAACAGAGATGTGCAGCAAAGACTTTTTGCTAAAGAGGATATATCGTTCCAAAATGCCTTGAGAGAGGTTACTGCAGAAGAGGCAGCAAGTGGGGCAATCAAGAATATGAGGCCTATCAGAAGTACTCCAGAAGCTGTTTTCGTGCACCACGAGGGAGTCCAAGGAAGCTCGGAAGAGGAACCTGATGAAGAAGTAGATCATCTCTACCCAACCAAAGAAGGGAAGCAGAGGGAAGTCAAAGAAAAGGCTTCACCTGTACCCAAGTGCTTCGGGTGTGGAGGTCGCCACAAGAGGACCGACTGCAAGTTCCGTTCTGCAATCTGTAGAGCATGTGGGAAGCAAGGCCACATAGCAGCTGTGTGTCTGGGCCGTCAGAAGGTACAACCCCGAGAAGAATTGCGCCCGAAAGGTATCAGGGTCCCCAGCCAAAACAGGGTGGGTTTCTGTGCTTCACGAAGAAGCATTTATAGGACAGGCACACACAAGCCACTCAAAAAGAAACTGTCACTTAAGGTGAAGTTGCAAGGGGTTCCATTGGTCATGGAACTAGACACTGGGTCTGCACTTTCAATCATCTCCATTCACACATTCAGAAAGATTTGTTCTGGTAGTGGTTTTCAGGACAAGCTTAGGCCCTCTAATATAGTGCTAACAGACTTTCAAAACTCCAAAGTGTGTGTTAAGGGGGAGGCCACCCTTAATGTGCAGTATAAGGATTTTGAAGGTCCATTAGATGTATTGATAGTGGGGGGTGAGCGCACGAGTCTCATAGGACTTGATTGGTTTGAGGCCTTGGGAATACAAGTTACAGGGCTCAATAGCATGCAAACAGTAGATTTACAGGAAGTCTGCAAAGAATTTGCAGATGTTTTCAGCCCACAGCTGGGCACATACAAAGAGCCCCCAGTCTCTTTGAAGTTGGACCCCACTGTCACTCCTATCAGAGTAAAGGCAAGAAGGGTACCTTTTGCTTTAAAAGGGAAAATTGATGCTGAATTGGACAAATTAATTCAGCAAGGAATCTTAGAACCTGTTGACTCCAGTCCTTGGGAAACTCCCATAGTCACGCCTCTTAAGGCTAATGGGGACATTCGCATCTGTGCAGATTACAAATGCACTCTCAATAAGGCATTGCAACAACATGGCTATCCTGTACCTGTAGTCAGCCATATTCTGGCCTCCCTCAAGGGGGGGGGGCGTGTTTTTGCAAAGCTTGACTTAGCACAGGCTTATCAACAGCTGCCTGTTGATGAAGCTGCTGCTGTAGCACAAACCATTGTAACTCATAGGGGGGCATTCAAAGTCAAGAGACTACAATTTGGAGTAAACGTGGCTCCTGGAATTTTCCAAAGTGTAATGGAAAATACTTTGAGGGGTATACCAGGGGTTTGCCCCTATTTTGATGATGTCTTAATTGCTGGAGACTCCACCCAAAATCTAGCTGAGAGATTGAGGGCTGTCCTGCTGCGGTTCCGGAAAACAGGACTCAAGCTTAAAAAGGACAAATGTAAAATTGGGGTGCCTTCTACAGATTTCCTGGGATTCAAAATTGATGCCAATGGGATTCATCCTGCTGAGTCCAAATTAAAAGCTATCATGCAAGCTCCTAGACCTAAGTCCAAAGCTGAACTGCAAGCTTTTCTGGGACTCTTGAATTTTTATAATTCATTCATTCCTAACAAGGCTAATGTAGCTGAACCACTTCATAGGGTTCTGGACAAACAGGCAGTGTGGCAGTGGTCACAGGCACATGAAGCAAGCTTCAATGAGGTTAAGGCCTTACTAACATCCAACAATGTGCTTGCACACTTCAATGAAACTCTTCCTGTGTGCATCGCTTGTGATGCTTCTCCTTATGGAGTAGGAGCAGTACTCAGTCACCTCAGACCAGATGGAACTCAGGTTCGTGTTGCATATTACTCCAGAACCTTGTCTTCTGCTGAAAGGAATTATGCCCAGATAGACAGGGAGGCCTTAGCTGTTGTTGCTGGAATTAAAAAATTCCATTATTTTTTATATGGCAGACATTTCACAGTCTACACTGATCATAAGCCTTTGTTGGGGTTGTTTACCACTAACAAACAGACCCCCCACATCATCTCCCCCAGGATGCTCAGATGGTCAATATTCCTGTCAGCCTATGACTTTTCTTTAATTCACAAACCTGGCAAAGAAATGGGTCATGCTGATGGCCTCAGTAGATTACCCTTACAAGTAGTAGAGGCTGATCCGGCCCCGGCAATCAACATCCTTTCAATTCAGGCACTGCCTGAATCACCTCTAAATGCCAGGGATGTGGCTGCTGAATCAGCCACAGATCTCACACTCTCTCGTGTCTTATCCTGGGTTTTGTCTGGATGGCCAGAGAGTTGTCCAGGCACTGAGTTTCAGAGTTTCTGGCTGAAAAGGAATGAGTTATCCACTTTCCAGGGTTGTCTGCTGTGGGGCAGCAGAGTTGTCATTCCTACCTCAATGAGGTCTAGGGTCTTAGGTTCCCTTCACGAGGGTCATCCTGGCATTGTACGAATGAAGGCGCTTGTGCGCAGCCATTTGTGATGGCCTGGGTTAGACAAGGAAATTGAGGCTAAGGTGCACGCTTGCCACCTTTGTCAGCGCTCACGCCCAGAAATGCCTCAGGCTCCTGTGCATAGATGGGAAGAAACACAGTCTCCATGGTCTAGGGTGCACATCGATTACGCTGGGCCCTTTCAGGATCAATTCTTCTTGGTCCTGGTTGATAGCTATTCAAAATGGCTTGAGGTTGTACCTGTCTCTTCCACCATCACTGCAAAGACTATTCAAGTACTGAGGGGGATTTTTGCTGCACATGGGCTTCCGGATGTTTTGGTGTCTGACAATGGCCCTCAATTCACTTCTTCCGAATTCCAAGCTTTCTTACAGGCCAACATGATTCGTCAAGCCACCTCTGCGCCCTTCCACCCTTCCACCAACGGGATGGCTGAACGGATGGTCCACATCACCAAGGATGCTTTAAAGAAACTGACCTATGGGGACTGGCATCACAGGTTGGCTGACTTCCTCCTTGCTTACCGCACTACACCTTCCACTTCTATGGGGAGAAGCCCAGCTGAACTTCGCTGGGAGCGCAAACTGACTACTAAACTTGACCGGTTGTACCCGGACAGATTGCCTCCTAGGGGTATACAACCCAGGGCACCGAGGCAATTACAAGTGGGTGCCCCAGTATGGACCCGTAACTACGGGCCAGGTCACTTGTGGGTTCCTGCTGTAGTTTGCAAGGTTACAGGTCCTTTGTCCTACGAGGTCTCCTTGGATGACGGTTGTATCCTGCGACGGCATATCGACCAGCTGCATACAAGACTGGACTTACCTTCAGAGATTCCTGGTTCCTTTCCAGAGGGGAGGGGGACCCCTATGGGCAAAGGGAGGAGTGTTGGCAGCAACCAGGCCCCAACAGAGAGGCCACAGACGGCCTATCACAAGATTCCGCGAGTGTTCCGAACAGGAATTCAGGGGAACCAGCTAGCACACAGGCTACAGTGCATACTCCAGCCAGGGAGTCACCCCGGGGCATAACCATTACACACTTACACCTTTCAGCACTCCAGTCAGGGAGAATAACCGAGAGCATCTTAATAACTCAAACATTGCAAGAGAGCTGGCACACAATCAATGCAATTGGCCCAACTTCGCCACCGTCCCCAGAAAAGGACACTTCCACAGGGAAGTGATAGAAGGGCCAAATCCAGATCCTGAACCCTTTGGTTCAACGGAGGGGGCAACTGAGTTTTGGGACAGTACTGAAATTAAAGACAGTCCTACTATGGAACTGGGGAGTGGAGGAAGGCAGCCTCATGCTAGGTCCAGTGTGGGCTCGAGAGGCTCTTCAGAGTTGCCCAACAGTGGCAGCCTTCTAGAGGGGCCAGAACGCCTGCAACTAGGCAGGTCAACCAGGTTAGAGAGAGAGCAAAGTCCTGGTCTGACGAGCCCGGTGGGCAAGCAAGCAGGCCAGGCAACGGAGCATGGTTCACGGGGGCCACCAGGGTCTGAGAAAGGGGGTGAACCTATAGCCTCCTCTGGACAAGGTGTACCTGGGAATTATCAGGGCCTATGGAGATCACAGAGAGATAAGAGGTCTCCCAAATATCTTGAAGATTTTATAACTCTGCTGGCAAAGCAGAAACAGTAAGAGGGTGTTTCTGTGGAAGCCGGAAAAGGGGACACTGGGAATTAATCCCCAGAACAATAGCATGGTACCATTGAGCAAGGGTGGGCACACCACGCTTGTGTTGAGATCGCGTGTAATTATTCATGTAGTCTTAGCTGGGGGGGAAGGGGTGTTGTGTCCTGAGCCTGCAAAGGCAGGCTCGGGACGTTGCAATGGTCCCGGGCAGTTGCAAGCTGCCCGGGACCAGACTGGCTGGCGCCAGCGCTTGCGCACCTAAATGTTGCTTTTTGGCCCGGGGATCGTCTTTAAGAGAGGCTGAGAGGTTTGTTCTGCTCAGAGTTGTAACGGGGGCTACTGAAGACCAATAAAGAGTTCCTGAAACCACAGAATGTCTCGCGCCGTCATTGCCATTAACCGAGGACTCAACAGACACCTTCCTCCTTTGTGAGTTTTACTGCCTTCTCTCAGGCTTGTCTATACACAAAGTCTGTGTATGGAGCTGGAGAGCAAGCGAGCACCAGACAGCTCTTCCATGCTAAAAAGGAAGGAGGAGGGATCTTTGTAGCTCACGTGTCCTTTTCTCCCTTGCTCCCCCCCCCCCCCGCTTCAATTCTCCACGGTTCTCCCTCACATCACGTTAGGCTCTTCTATCTATCTCTGCCTAATCAAGAGGAAGAAATTTTTGTCTTTCTCCTGCCCGTTTCCAACTATTCACTGGTTCTGATTTGCCTCTGCAAAAGATTCTCATTGCCTGCCCTGAACTGCTTTTCTTCCACTCCTCTTTTTCCACCCTTATCTTTCTCAGCAGTAATCCAGAAGGAAGAGCAAAGAGGAGAAGCAAGAAGAGGTAAGGCAAGGACCAGTAAGAACCTCAGACTTTCAATGCAAAGCAAAAGAAAACGAAGAAAGGGCACCACAATCTGCCTCCCTTGCATGCCAGACCAGCTGGTGCCGACTCTGGCTCTGATTATGAAGGCATTATGAGCTGCTTGCTCCAGAACTGGGTGTTGACAGCTTTCTGCTGCTTGCTGCTTTGTCATTCAGGTGAGGGAAAAAAACTCTTTGTTTTAGCCTCCCAACTTTCCCCCCCTCTTATCCCCCTCCCGCATTTTTCTTTGTATTGCTTTGGAGTAGTGAGTGCTACATGAGGTAGGAAGCTGGGTACAGGCACTGGACTACCAATCAAGCAGTCGGAGTTACATTGCATACATTTCTCAAAGTGACAGGGAGCACCATATTCCAATACTGCCTCCTTTCCCCCCCCCAACAATGGGTTTCACTACTCACCTTTTGGAATGGGGCACATGGGGAGGGGGATACAGCAATTTACTGATTGTAAATATATCTCTTATTTAAAATCCATCCCTTCTTTATAGACACATTTTTACATTCCATCAGTGCTAGGACTGCAGTCTTTTCTGCTGCATCAACACATTTTCTGCAGTTCCTTTCTGAGGTGGAGATGTTTAAGCAACAGCTGGGGAGGGTGGGTGTAATCTCCTGTCAGGTTTACCTGGGATTGGGGCAGGGGATGGAGGTTCTTCTGGCATTTGCCATTCAAGCTTATATGGGTGACACCTGTGCTCATAGATTTTTTTGATAAATATGAATGAATTGGATGAAAGAATCTGGGGAAATGAGAAAAAGACTGAAATGCTTGGGAATGGAGTAACCGAGGGTTCAGCCTAAGTATTTTAGATGCTGCTGGGGCCAGTCCAAAAATACATGTGATTATAACAAACAAAAGGAGAAACAGTCCTTGAGTACATGCAGAGTGCATTCACTTCATTGTTGTCCAGTGGCCTAGAGTATATCAAGGATTGAGAGGTAGTAGGTGTGGATTCCAGGAAAACTTTAACCTCAGCACCTGTCATTTTTAGAATGTAAAGTAGTGAGCATGCCCCCCAAAAAGTGAATCAGGCTTAAGGTTGTGTGAAAGGGCATGGAGATGGCCGTTTTGAATGTGGATTGGCTTTTCTTTACACTAGCTATGTTCAAATGTTACTGCCAAGCATTGACTTCTTTTAGTATACATCAAGGTTTGGCTTAGCTTGATTGAGAATGCATTGTTGATTTTGTTCTGTTTTTCTTCTTGGAGGTTTTGTGAAGGCAGATCCACAACCTGGTGATTTGCGGAGGTGGGTTCCAAATTCCAATTGGCGCAAAAGTTGGGGTATTTCAGAAATCATATATCCCACCAGGCTGATGAAACATAATTCTGGGGGAGAGATCCAGAGGTATCAGCTGGACACAAGAGTGAGAAAAGAGACTGGTGGCAGCAGAGGAGGCGACAGAAAAGGAGGAAGCCCTGTAAGTGATCCCAAGAAGCTTCTCCCCCATTTCATAAGCTGGTTTTCTTTTTCTTCTCTCAGCTTTATACTAAGATTCCTACCACTAAGGCACAGGTGGCTGTGGGAGGAGAGAGCAGACTCCAAGCTGTTCTGTGAAGCCAGATGGTATACACATGTACTGGCTGGGTGGCAAGAGTTACTTCCAACTTTTTAATTGGATACTAATATTCACTGGTGCAGCTGTTTACCCAGCCGTTTTAGACAATTCAAGCATTTTTCCAGGATAAGAAGTAAAATATCTCAGCCGGGATTCCATCTCCTGTCCCCTGTTGCTAAAGCCAATTCTTGCCAGCATTCTGAGTTAGATATGTCTATGAGAAGGGACCTTGGACAAGTTATCCTTGTTCAGCAAGCAAAAGATGTTTTCACCCCAAAACATCACCTATATTTATCTTTCCTATGGAATCAGTAGCAATAATGGCTAAGCTCATATATCTTGCTAAGCTATGATTTACTGAATCATAACTTATTAAATAAAGTACTATTGTTTGAATTTACATGGCAGAGTGTACTATAAACCAATGGCTTTCCTTTCTGCAGACCACTAAACTGTCATAAAAAATACTGAAACTACTACCGTGTTTCCCCGAAAGTTAGACCCAGCCCGATAGTAAGCCCTAGCTTGGTTTTTGGGGGTGGGACTAATATAAGCCCTACTCCAAAGCTAAGCCCTAATTTTGGGGTGAGGCGTATCCCTAAAAAGCAAGTTAGGGTAGGGGTAGGGGGGTGAAGCTGCCCCATGCACGTGCACCCACTTACCTCACCAGTGGGACCACCACAGCCAAGCTTCCCACACCCTGACATCTGTCGCACCGCTACTTGACTTCTGTGGCAGCTTGCCACCACTTGTGGCTGGACACCATGTGGCGCATTGCACTGTTGCCACTCCTCCTGGCAGGACGCCGCATAGCGCTTCGGGCCGCTTCTGCTGCTTGCACAATGCTTTGGAATGCTTCTGTTGCTCATGTGCTTTGGCCCAGTTCTGTTGCTTGTGGCAGGAGGCTACATGGCGCTTTGGGCCGTTTCCTCTGTGTAAATGGCCCAAAGAGCCACACAGTGTCCTGCCGTGAGCAGCAGAAATGTCACAAAGCACTATGCGGCATCCTGCCGGGAGGAGTGGCAATGGTGCAATGCGCCACATGGCACCCGGCCACAAGTGGTGGCAAGCAGCTGCAGAAGAAGTCAAGGAGTGGTGCGACAAGTGGTGGGGCATGGGAGGCCTGGCTGCTGTAGTCCCATGGTGAGACATTCTCCGAAATTAAGACCTAATGCCTCTTTTGGAGGCAAGAAAAATATACGACCGGGTCTTAATTTTGGGGAAACACAGTACATATGCCAAGGACTGGCAATATACTGACTTTGGGCTCTGTGGCATATACGTTCCCCAGATGGGATCCCTAGGAGCCCAAATTAAGTAAAATTAATCAAAGAACGAAGGGCCATTTCTGATGATATTTTGGTGTTCTCACCTAAAATACCATAAGAAATTTGCCAAAACTACCACACTCTTGATAATCTCTTGAGACTGATGGTGTATAACTATGCAAAAGATCATGGATGGGGGGTAAGTGATATACACTGCAATGTTCTGGCACAAATCCTGCTCCTTGTGTATTTTTAAGCAGTGCAATGTGTCATGATCTCACAACTCATATTTTGTCAATTTGATGTCATTGCTAGTTGCAGATGCTTTTGTGTATCTCTGTAGTTTATTAGTGGGACTGCAGCCAAGAAATTAAAAGACGCTTGCTCCTGGGGAGGAAAGCTATGGCAAATCTGGACAGCATACTAAAAAGCAGAGACATCACCCTGCCAACAAAAGTGCGTATAGTCCAGGCCATGGTTTTCCCAGTTGCAATGTATGGCTGTGAAAGTTGGACCATAAGAAAAGCTGAGCGCAAAAGAATTGAGGCCTTTAAACTATTGTGCTGGAGAAGACTCCTGCGAGTCCCTTGGACTGCAAGGCGTTCAAGCCGGTCAGTCCTAGAAGAGATCAACCCCAACTTCTCTTTAGAAGGCCAGATCCTGAAGTTGAAACTCAAATACTTTGGCCACCTAATGAGAAGGAAGGACTCACTGGAGAAGGGCCTAATGCTGGGAAAGATTGAGGGCAATAGAAGAAGGGGACAACAGTGAATGAGATGGCTGGATGGAATCACTGAAGCAGTAGGTGTGAACTTAAAGGGACTCCAGAAGATGGTAGAGGACAGGAAGACCTGGAGGAACGTTGTCCATGGGGTCGTGATGGGTCGGACATGACTTCGCAGTTAACAACAACAACAACTTATTCAGGAATTACTAATGGACCATAATTAATAAACATACTAAGACTTTCAATTACTATCTGCTTGGCTCACCTATGGCCCCAAATTATAGACTGATCCCTGACAATCAATTATGGTTTAAAAAGCATAATTGTTGTATTCACATGCAAATTCTAAATCCAAGCTAACAAAAATTTACTTGCAAGACTTGCATTGCTCTGTTAGAAGTTGCTCAACTGATTTGATTGTGCCTGGAAAAGCAGTCGATTGTCTCCCAGTTGGGTGAGGTCAAACAGGATGAAAGCTGGAAGCGTTGCTTTTCCATGGTAGAGACAGCCTTCAGGAAGACTTTTCCCACCCAACTTTTCCCACTTTGCAGAAGATGAAGATGGAACTCTTTTCAGAGGGCATTTAGAACATGAGCCCACTTGACAGTGGTCAGTAGATTTTTCAGTATTTTTTTTCTGTATTACTATATATTTGTGTTTTATTCCTCTTTGTAAGCTGCCATGTATCAGTTTAGATCAGTGTTTCTCAACCTTGATTATTTGAAGATGTGTGGACTTCAACTTCCAGAATTCCCCAGCCAGTATGGTTTAAATTGTGGTGGATAAAAAATAAATAAACGAACACAATTGCTATATTCCCATAACAAGCTGTATCTCCTCCAAAAAACTGAATCATGGCTGATGGCGATGACTATATTTCTGTAACCTGCTGAAGCACAAACTTGCCAATCTGTTTTAATCTAGTCTAATACGCTATGTGAACTTAACTGTTTAGTCATTATTACCTGGGATATAGGTCGTGCCCTATAGCTAAGGTCATCACCCCAAAAGAAAATAATATGGTCTGGATAATGGGATCCAGGATTTTTTCTCCACTCTTTGGGGTAGATGATAGATCAGTGATGGCGAACCTTTTAGAGACCGAGTGCCCAAAAACTGGCCCCACCCCCACTCCACCCCCTGCCCTGCCCCCACCCTGTCTGCCCGCAGGGCCACTCACCACCTCCAGGACCCGCCGGAGATCGCCCAGGCAGCCCAGCAGCACCATGGTGGCTACGCCCTCTGTCCACATCCTGCAGCATCAACTGTGCACAATGGGGTGTGAGGCCAGATTCTTGTCTACGCTGCCTGGCTGCCATGTTCTTGGCTGCGCTGCTCTGCATGGGCCATGCTCGGAGGCGACTCTCCTCCAGGGAGGCTGCTGGTGAGGAGGGGGTCATGGGGGGGAGGCAAGGCTGGGGCAATGGCACATGTGCCCACAGAGAGGGCTCTGAGTGCCGCCTCTGGCACCCATGCCATAGGTTCGCCATCACTGTGATAGATAGTGCTCTAGGATCCAATCTAAAGAATTCAAAGTTATGGAGGTCATGGAACAGTATAATATCTAAGGAAGCTAAAACTGCAACTCTCTCACCTTTCAAATAGCAAGTATCAGTAGCCTAGGATGATTTCCACTTTCCTGTTTTCTTTATTTTCCAATTTCATCTTTGTCAATGTTTCCTGAAGTAGTACTGTTTGTAATTAAAGATGAGCTTTACATACTGAGCCCAATATAAAAGCAAAATATTACACAGTTTGTTCTCAATTTGTGTCCATGATAAAAAGAAATGATAAAAGGCTAAAACTGCTAGAACATAGAAGAACTATTGTAATTGCAAGACGTCTCAGCCATCCATATTCCTTTCCAAAAACTCTTTAAATCTGAGTTTCTAGATAGCTGGATTCCCAGATTTACAGGCAGGTATTTTGAGGTCATCATTTATGAAGGAGCATATTAAGTGAATAAAATCTTGCTCAAAGCTGATCAGCTTTGCATATAGGAGCATTACAAACTTTACAGATGCATTTCTGACTTAGCATTCATGTAGACATTAGATCATTTAATGCTTAATATCAATACAGCCATCTTGATTGCTGGATGTGCTTGAGGCGCACTATCCAGTTAACTGAACCATAGTTTACTGAATTTGCCCAACTCTCTATGATTGCATTATGCATGGAACCAAAAGCTAGCCAAACATTTTTTAATGTGCAAATCCAATCTCTGGACTATAGAAAGAAAAACAGATAGAGCTCATAGAACATTTGCAGCAATGCAATAATACGTTGTGTTGCAGTCTTAAGTCTTTCTAGATTGTTCTCCCATTTTTGATGCTCACCTCTGAAATGAGAACTTTTTTAAAAAATGAAAAATTTCACACTCACATTTACCTTCACTCTCTTGCTCATACCTTTACTATCATTGTTGGATTACAACTCTTATCATACCTAGCTAATTGTATTGTGCCTCATATCTGAAAAGCATCAGGTTAGGAAAAATTAGTCTGAGTAGTCCAACTGAGTAGATATGTCATATACTTCCTGATGTCAGTTCATTTTTCATCCTTTTGTATTCTGCTGTCTCTCCTTTCTGTTCTTTTCTAAAAGGCTGTGTCCACATAGAACCCTGAGACCCCATCAGACCACATTTTAGCTTTGCATGTATACCCAGCCCAAGTGAACTCACATTGGGTTTACTAAGAAAAAAAGGAAGGTTGATAAATTGCAATTAATTGTGCCATACAAATTCAGCCAGTAAGAATAATGACTTTGCTGATTTTGGATTCAGAAAGGTGGGAGCGTAGATAAGATTGTAATATCTGTATTATGTTGCCATGATGCAAATGGTGTGACTTACATTCTTGCAT